AAAACTAAAGGGAATGCCATGAAAAGAATTTTGGCCATATTAACACTTTCATTCTATTACCTGAGACTACTTTCCCCTCTTTCACATAGATTTTGCACTGACCAAGGGCAGTACAATCACTTCTCTGTGCCCAAAAGGATACTTTCCCTGTGGAAATCTTACCAAGTGCTTACCCCGTGCTTTTCACTGTGATGGTGTGGACGACTGCGGGAACCAGGCTGATGAGGAGAGCTGTGGTGAGTCCTCCGCTCAGCTCCAGACATCCACCTCCCCTTGTGAATGCCCCCAAACTGTACATGGACCAAATAATAATTGTCACGAAAGGGAAGAGATGATTTGATATTCTATAGGAAATCCTACTGTAACACAAATCATTGCCCCCCGATTTGTTTGCGACGATGACCAGAATTTTTCACAGGTAGAGGTTGCTTAAATCAGAAATACAAATGTGATAAAAACTGAAATCATGTTCTGAAAGCTACTTGATGCTCATATTCTAATTTTAAATGTCTTCCTATAGACTACCTCTTCGTTTGGCTTGGTAATTTGGTGCAGTTACACGAATACCCATAAAGTGTGAATGGTTCCTGCCTAGAGAATTGATTCACTGGGTTAAACCTACAGTGAGTACCCACTATGTGCCAGGTGCTGTCTCACTCACCCAGACACAGCAGGCTCAAGAGAGACAAGGTCTTGCCCTCATGGAGTTCACGTGGACCTTGTGAACAAGGAGGACAATAACCCTGTACGGAACGAAGTTAAATATTAAATGTATTCAAATATTAATATTTATTTAAACGTTAAATATTTTAGAGCATGATAAGTGCCATAAAATATTGAAAAAAAAAAAGATGATGGGCTAGAAAGTGACCTGAAGTGAAGCCTAGTTTCAAAGGGCAACCAGAGAAAACCTCCCTGAGATTATAATGTTTGAACTGAAAACTAAACCATGAAAAATTGTGGACGAACCGAGTTGCAGGCAAAGGAAACAGCAACTGAAAAAGATCCTGAGGCTCAACGAAGTAAGACAGTGTGTTTGTGAGGCCAAAAGGCCAGTGTGGTTTGAGCAGAGTGAACAAAGATACAGAGGGTGAGGAGGTAAGCAGATACCAGATCACCAAAAGTCTTACAGGCCGTTTGAGGTCTGTATGCAGGGACCGTGTGTATTGTCTAATATAACCTGTTTGTTTTTACTTGAATAAACGGATGCCAAATTGACATGTCTAGTTAGTGAGAGAGTAGACAACTAGAACCCAGAGCTCTTGAATCTGAAAGAACCTTGTGTGTTTCCTATCGCACAGAACAGCCATTCTTTGATAGCACCTAACTAGCAATCCAAGGGAGACCACAAAGTCCAGGAATGCCAGGCATCTGTCTCTAGAATCTGCTTTCCTGCCCTTGAGGATTCACGTATGCTCCCCTCCCACGGAACCTTACGCCCTCACCTCGGGTGGATCATTCATACTTACCATTTAGGATGAGTTCAGGGACCCTTCTCACCTCAGAAGCTTGGCTTCCCTGGCCTCACTCCCCACCCTGAAGCTCTGCCAGCAGTCTAGGGTAAGCACCTTTTCTCCCTGTTGCCATAGCATCCTGGCTGTACCCATATGGTTGTACTAAGGGCTGCCTTGTCTTTTCACTGTTCTTCTCATTATGGACATGAACTTCTTGAGAAGAGTTCTTATTTGTGTCTTATTTCTTTTGTTGTCATCAGAGCCTATAATAGTAGTGTACATAGTAGGTGCCCAATCACTTCTCAGTGATGGGGGCAGCTGTCTGGATGCCAATGGGCAAGTCAATCAGATCCTCAGTGTTCCCTCTTCACTGCTTGGGAATCAGAGACCTGGCATATTTATCTACCTCATGAGGATGTTCTGAACACAAGTTAAATAATTCATGTAAAGGCATCAAATAGAATCATTTAAAAAACCATTGTGGGTATTAATAAGAAATAGGAATCAGTTATAGGTTGTAGGCATCAGAAGGGAACTGTGGGCAACTATTTAAATCTACTTTTCTATTTGTATGAGCTTCAGTGTACTACGTTATAATACGTATCTTACCATTTTAATGGCATGTGCTAAAGTGATGATACTTCAAAGTCAGGTTTCCTTTTTAAAAAGAAGATAATTTTCTTGCAGAAAAGGAGAAGGAAACTTGGCACATAAGCAGAAACTTGGCAATTTCTGACAAATTGAGAAAATATTTTTCCACTCAATAGGACTAGGTATCCTTGATGAAAAGGAACTTTGTTTTTGCTTCATTAAAAAGGTCAGGTGACACCTATTTTATTATTAGTCATTACATCTATCAAGCATGTATCTACATATACATATGCAGCAGTATGCGTATGCCAAAACAATTCAGATTGTGTTTTCTTCCGAGGACCTTAAAATTAAGATCAAACATTTCAACTGTCAGCACTAGAAACAAGTAGTATTTTTCAAGATGGATATAGGTAGGTAAAATAATCCTCTATTTCCATTATATATTTTATGAAACATACATTTGAAATATTTGTAATTTTCCAAAAGGGAAAGGCTCCAGATGTTTGCCTAGCTTTTTGTCCCTTACCATTGATGTTACCATTCAACTACTGAAACAAATTTTTAATTGATTTCATTATCAAATTTTTATACTTTTGTTTTGTAATTTGATATTTGATTTATAGAATAACTGACACATATTCATCACCATTTCACAGGAGACACTAGTGGATGGGCGACCATATTTGGCACAGTCCATGGAAATGCTAATTATGTGGCATTAACACAGGAGTGCTGTAAGTGGTATTGATTCAAAGACTCAGTCTCAGCTTTGCGAGCAACATGATTTGTGGTGCATGGATTTATATGGGTAGTGTGGTCAATTCCCTTTAGAATTTCAGTTTCGGGTCAATGTCTTTCAGTGGTCAACTGCTCCGTGGTCTGCCATGGGATTGAAGACATGGAAGAAAACATATTCCATTCATGCTCATTTTGTGTAGTAGCCTACGATTGTGAGAATATATAGATATTAAATAATTATGATAAATAATAAAGGTATTTTTCCCTTTAACTACTTTCTTCAGTAGAGATATTGAACACCAACTACTTCTCAGCCCCTATGTTAAGGACTGAGAGTACAAGGATAAGATGTGGCCCCAAGTCACAAATACTTCACATTGTAGCAGGAAAGGCAAAACCTCATGGAGACAGAGATGATACAATATAGTGAGGTATATTGTATATACAATATACAATATATACAATAAACTAGAAGGATGATGTTTGCACAAAGGAATGTGGAAGCCCACTGGAAGAAATGGTGGTTGTGCCAAGGGTGGAAAAAGATCCACAGAGACAACGACACTGACATGGACCTAGAAGGATGACACCAGCCCATAGAGGATTCTGGGTGCACGCTTTGGACTTTGGCCTCTACCCTGTAGATAGAATTGTGTCCTTATATACACCTATATTACATACATGTGTATAATGTATACCTAGACATAATTATGCAGGTACATATACAATTATATACATATATTAGTATGTATATACAAATAGTAATATACATATATGTTAAACACTATATTAACCTTATATTATGCACTTTATAATATCAGTTTATAATTACCACTTATTATATACTTTACTGTGCACAGGTACATCACATATAAAAAAATTAGAACTTAAAAAGATTAAAAATAAACACAACTGTAAGTTCTCGTATTTTCTTCCTGAGCGATAATGGGTCATCTTGTACACATTCCATTGTGGAGATCACTGCTGTACATAGTCGGCAACTACTGACACTGTGGGCTTATTTTCTTTTAATGAGGAGGAAGAAGCACATGAAAAGAAGGGTCTGTAAGAATGATTCTTCCATCAGAATCATAGAGAATGGATCAGAACAGTGGTTCTCAACCCCGGACAACTTTTGTCCCCAGAGAACACTTGTCAATGTCAAAAGACATTTGGGTTGTCACAACTGGGGGATGGCTCCCGGCATCTAGTATGCAGAGGACAAGGATGCTGTTTAGCATCCTACAATGCACAGGACAGCCCCCCCCCCCAAAACAGAGAATGAGCCAACCCAAGTGTCAACCTTCCCAAGGTTGAGAACAAAGGACAGTGAGATACTGATCATTATGTTTCCTGCAATACTCCAGAGTAATACTAAGAATCTGATCCCAGAAAATGCCAGTGGAAATAATGAGAGAGACAGAGATGCAGAAGCATTTCTGAAGAAGAATCCAGAGCCTGTGGGTATGACTGATGTGCAGGTGAGGGAGCTATGCTCACGTCGCTGGTTTAGGCAGTAGGCCCAGCTTGGACTACATGGAATTCTTTTATTGGTAAATATGAGTTTCCATCCCCAGGCTTTCAATCTAATAATGGAAACACCATTTTTGCTGTCAATAAACGTTGAAGTGAACATTCCGAGCTTTAAGGAGTTGAGCTAATTAGCATAAACCTATAACATAGAATATTTTCAAAAACTCTATAAAAAAGTTTATAAACAACATAGAATATTTTCAAAAATTTTATATACTAGATACTTCCAAAACTTTATGCATCTTTTGAATTAAGCAGGTACTCAATAAAAGTTTGCTGAATTTACTAAAATTCCATAAAATTGATTTTAGAAAGTTTGGTTAAAGGAATTTAAAAGAAACAGAGCAATTAGAAAGGATGTGTAAAGATCTAACTAAATAATAATACAAAAATTGGAAAAGAATCCTCATTTTCTTAGCTCCATCAAAACAAATACCCACAGGATCAGAGGCAAAATCAAGTGCTCCATAAATATCACACCCCTTACTCTCATACACACACACACACACACACACACACACACACAAACACACACACACACAGAGTGATTGTCTCATGGGACAAGTTGGCCTGTTTTCTCCATAGATTTATCACCCCTTTATATGCCATTATCTTAATAATTATGTAAGTTTCTTCACAGTAAATCCTGAATTTTTTTTCTTCTGAATGTTTCAGATAGATGGATCTTTGGTTTTCTCAGCTTTATAGCTTCTCTACTATTTTTATCTTCCACTATAACTTTATAGTAACGAAAAACAAAGAACCAAAATAAGACGGTATCCAACTTGGCTTATTTCAATAAGGCACAGTGGAGGCTACTGCATCTGTCTCTTCTCACAGCCCTAGGAAAAGTTTGAAGGGGGAAAAAATTGAATTGAATTTTAACCAACAAGGACTTACTGAGCAACCTCTTTGTGCCATTCAATTAAATTAAATCGACTCAATTATACCCATTGCAGATTTACTCTGTTGTATTAATGTTTTTCGTTGAGGAGAACTTAATCCTGCTTCACTATACACTTTTGTGCTACTTAAATCTTTCTGTGGTTTCTTTCTAATCACTTATTAAGTGCCTCTGAAATGACCACTGGAAGCTAGAACCGAAATGAAATGCCATGTTAGTCTATGATGGACTAGGAGACAATTCTTTGCTTTTAGTATGGACCCAAATTAGGCTACTAAAGATGTAAATGTTATACATTCAATGAAGAGAGAACCCTGTCAGTTATTAGAGATGAGGTCATAATTAAAGTATTTTTTTCCCAGTGAAATACTACTCTTTTGCCCCCTAGCTCTAAACCAGTATCCACAACCCTGTGACTGCAAAGGAACTGAATTGGAATGTGTAAATATGGGCTTAAAGTCTGTGCCAGTGATTTCCAGCAATGCGACATTACTGTGAGTAGAATTCGTGTCTTGATATTTCCCCGGAAACCGTATGAAAACCATGTAGTCTAATCTAACCTCCCCTTGTTGTGTTTTGTGTTACTTCTATATTAGCAAAATCATAGAAGTTTCCCTTAAAACTACCAGAAATCAGAGAATGCCACATGTTTCTTCTCCAGGGAAGGCAAGTTTTTAAATGCTGTGTGTTAGATTAGCCTGGTTATCGTGGAGCTCACAAATGTCTCTGGTCTGCAGTGCTGATTTTCAGTTACTTTCTGATTCATTGTTCTTACTAAAATGCGAGTACCGTACAACTAAAAATGAAAATAAAAAAGGAGAGCACTAGCTTATTCTACCTCACTGTAAATGGTGGCAATTGTCCAAGACTGCAAAGATATAACAAAGACATAAAAAATCCATGAAGCTGGCTATGTCGTCACTGTAAGTTTGCCTGTACTTCGTAAAAATGTTTTGAGAGCCTCCAGAATTTGCAGTCATATTATGATTTGAGCATGTGTGAGCTGGTTAGGAACTTTTGGTTTTCTTTTGTTTGTTTGTTGTATTTTATTAAATCACCCGGAGAGTAAAGATGTTAAATCTTCATAGACATTCTAATCTATGATACTAAACGGCCAAACTTGTCAGATACTTGCAAACTGCTTTCATTTTGCCTTATGCACTTCTCATTCTCACACGAGAAAGTTTTCAGTTACTAGGGTCACTTTCAAACGTGCGGGAAGTAGCAAGAAGTATCCGTAAATATCCTGTTTTCAGTCATGCACTTTCTAGGGAAAAGTTTTCTTGGTCGTGAAACCCATAATGAAGTCTGCTTTACCTGTTATTTTAGGTCTCTTAAGGAAAACAAAATCCACAGTCTTCCAGATAAAGTTTTCATCAAATACACAGCACTTAAACAGATGTAAGTAGCTATTAATGGTGTTTTTATGAAGAAATCCTTGTGATGTTTTAAGAGGCCTTTTATCGCTAAGTAAAATGGAACATAAACTTAATCTTTATCATTAAATTTATTTTCCAAATGTAATTAAGATTAGGAAATAAAGCTTTGAAAACTAGTATATTATCTTTCCATTTCATAATTGAAAGTAGCTGAATTAATTTTATTTAAATTATTTTTAGAGGATTAAATTGAAGTTGAGATCAGGCGTCTCAATAAGAAAACACATAGCTCCATTCCATGCTGTTTTCCAAGATCATTTGGAAAATGACACGGTAGATTCAGAGGCACTAGATATACTTCTTAACTTTAAAGGGGAATGTTAGTATAGATAAGAAAGATCAGATCTTTTTTTAAAATTTTTTTCAATGTTTTTATTTACTTTTGAAGGAGAGAGAGACAGAGCATGAGCGGGGGAGGGGCAGAGAGAGAGGGAGACACAGAATCGGAAACAGGCTCCAGGCTCTAAGCCATCAGCACAGAGCCTGATGTGGGGCTCGAACCCACGAACTGTGAGATCATGACCTGAGCCAAAGTCGGACGCTCAACCGACCGAGCCACCCAGGCGCCCCAAGAAAGATCAAATCATTTAAAACACATAATGGTAGGATACAGACTGTCTCCCGGGATAATAGAAACAAAAGCTGCAATCTTAGTGAAATCAGTGATATTAGCATATCTGAGGAAAGAAAATGTTAATAAATAGGGCACAGTCCGCAGTGAAGAAATGGTAGTCAGAGAGAAACCAAGTATCAAGATGCTTCCAGCACCTTCCAAGAAAGAAAACCAGGATCTGGGTGATGTAATCCCTAGACGAGTCTCATTACTTGCATGAACTATCTATCTTTTGATAGAAATTCCCTTTACTTTGATTCCCTGCTCACCAAACAACCTTATGATGACTGCATTAACTTCCCAAATTACTCATATCAAAGTATTTGGACAGTTACCTCGGATAGGGTATTAGAATGTTCCTTTTGGTGGAATTGGATACCTCCCATTTAAATAAAGACATTGAGAATATTCAGCCTCTTGTCAGTTGTTACTCTATGGCAGCCTCTCCGAGCCCAGTCATTCTGGGATAACGAAGAGATCAAGTTTCTACAATTGCCAGGATGGTCATTAGACCAGATTTAAAAATTAACAAGGTAATGTTGTAAGGCTCCTTAGCAGCACAATTATACCGTTTTATCCTTCACAGTCAGCATAGAAAGTTTCTAGAAATGCGAAGTATGTTAATTAGATTTCTAGATAATCTAGATAATCTAGATAATCTAGATTATCTAGATTTCTAGATAAAAAAAATATCTAGAAATGTAAAATATGTTAAAAAGAATAAAAATAATCTGATCCTCTGCTGATACCGGACAAACAGATTTGGCATAAAATGCCATCAAAATTCAATGCTGTGCATGAACTTAGGTACAGATTTTCTCGCACAAGAAAAGAAGTCACTGAAGGAAGTCCATTAGTGAGGTAGGATCTTATGTGAACAGAGATAATCATGCCTGGGTTTGATCACAGCCTCCGTCAATGCCATCCGCAGTCACGACCTTCTGCTCCATTGTGGGGCGTGTTGTCATGTTCACATTGCCACAGTGGAGTAGCTATGCACGGACTCTGGGTTTCCAGATGAATCTAGAGAGGAAACCCTAACTACACTGCTGTTATTCTTACTGGAAATTCTTGGAATCACCACATGTTCATCCTGTGAGTCAATACGGTTCTTGCACTGCCTGAATAATGCTCAAGGGAGGGGGGGGAAATGGCACTAACAGAAAGGAAGGAAAAAGATTCATGTTGTAGAGTACCTGTTTCAGTTCTGTTATCTAGAGTCATAGAAGTTTTATGAATTTCTAATTAAGTGCTCTTATTGTTCTAATTAACTAAAGTCTGCAATGGTTAAATGATTTAACTAAGATCTACGACTAGTAAGCAGAAGAGCCAGAGTGAAAGCCCATATATTCTGATGCTCAGTGCAGTGTTTATTTTGCAATAGCCAGGAACCAGAGATGGATGCTGTTCTAGCATCAGACTGAATGTTCTACCAACACATACTGTCCTGCCCCACACAGAACTCCCTTTTCTACATGTGCCCTCTAATTTGGGACAAACTGACTTCTGGGAAGGCAGACAGATCACCAGAGGATCAAGCAAAGGAGGGGTACACTTCAACTTCTACCAAGTCCTTTTGTGGACCACTGATTTATGTCAATACTTATCTCTGATAGTATCGGCTAGCCCACGTAGGGGAAGGATATGGAATCACTAATTTTGATAATCCAGGCCCCAATTTCTCCTAGTGAAATAAAATAGGGATTGACCTTAATTGCCCAGGTCAGCTGGAAAGTTCTCCAAGTAAATGTTTACTTCTACTTTGAGAAAACTTATGCCACATCATCACCCAGCTGAAGCTCTCCTGATGCAAGGTGCCATTTGATGCTATTTGAATCAACGAGGCAAGCTGATTCTCCCAGAGGCTCAGAGAAAAAAGATTAGGGGACCCTCATCAGGAAACACTCACTAAGTGTTTATCCTAGGCAGAATACAGCACAGGTCCTTATATTTATATATCACCTTTTAAAGTTCACAAAGAATCCCAACATTTGGAATTCTCACTCGGACTTTGAGCCCCATAATCTGCGAAGTGGGGGTGAGCATTACAAGGTCCTTTCAGGAATGAGGATACCTATTCTAGAGAAGAGGGATTGTTTGTTCAAAGGCAGTCAGCTGACAAGTAGTAGATCTTGGCCTCAAAGCCAAACCTCTGACTGTGATCTTTTGGAAGCTTGACTGCTTGGTCCGGTCTCAGAATATTGTTCCTGTTGATGAAAACATCCATTAACCAAGCTTTGATTTGAACATAACACAAGGTCTTTACAACCATTACTTAAGTATCACAAAGCAGCTCATGAGCTCAGCCATCCGTCCTCAGACCTCCGACCCCCACCCCCTTTTCTCCACTCCTCAGTCGCTCCTGCCACTCCTTCTCCAACCCCCAGCCTCAGCCATGCTCTTCTCTCTCCTGTCCTTCCACTCTTACCTTCTCCTTCCCTATTCTGCATTACAACATCCCAAATAGCCGATGTGGCAAAACCAAAACCATCCCCAGGAAAAGGTGTCTGGGGAAGAAAGAAATGAACAACTCCCAGGATCCTTGGAAACATCCCACAGGAGGGTAAAAGCTGACAAAACCACATATTCATTCATTCTTTCAACAAACATTTGTCGATACCTGCCGGGCTCCAAGTACTGAGGATACAGCAGTGAACAACACATGTCAAAAGCCCTCTCTTCATGGAGTTAAAGGTACAGTGGAGGAGGATAGGCAATAAAATAGAAAATACATAGTTTGTTAGATACTGATGAGAGCCATGGAGTAAAAGAAGCCAGGAAGGTCATGAGGGTGCGCTGAGCAGAAGAAACTTCAAAGAATACACCAATAAATTTTGTCCCGTCATGTAAATCTACTACTGCCAAGGGTGTCTTTAAAGCTCCCCATCTTTCTTAGACTTACGCCATTAAACTGTTCAAAACACACCCAATCAGTCCTCTACTTAACTGTAATAGTTAGAGCTGGCTCTTATCACCCTGCATATTCCATGAGTCTCTTCCAGCAGACTTCTCCCCCAAAGGATGTGGTTTCAAATCTGATCATCATCCTGGTCACATTAATCTGTATATGTTCACCTACACTTGCCTTCCACGTAGTATCTAGAATAAATGTAATATTGTCACTGTGACATGGGCGGGGACGGACAGACGAAAGCTAGCAAGACTTCTTTTCTAAACTCTATATGCTCCAAGCTTACATTTGATATCTTGGTGGCTATTTCATACCCGTAACTCTTAGCGGTCATGCTTCTAAAATTCCCCATCCCGTGCCATAGGTGTTTCTGCAAAGTGATGGCGTCTCCATCCTGCATCTGTGCACTTGGCATTTGAGAGCTAGTTGTAGGTCCATAAATGTAACCCTGTTCGGTTTCAACCTGTTAGGTTCAGCTTTTCTTATCAGACTGTAATGAACTTTTTGGAAAATTCAACATATTCACTATGACTATGCTGAATATTCATATAAATATGAATATGAATGCTGAGAGGTCCGCATTCTGTCACCTGAAAATTGGATGAACCATCTTTACCCAAATCGTGGAGTAAAATATTGAAGAGGACAGTGCCAAATACTCTTTCCAGAGCCCTTCATCACTGTCCTTCAAGCAATGTGTATTATTCTTTATTTTGGCCACAAACGCATCATAAAGCCACTTGATCAATGCATGCTAGACATAGAAGCAGTGTCAGCCACTGTTGGTGTTGGACTGATCAGTTTTTCAAAAAAGAAAATAAAGTTAGTCTGATATGACTTGTTTCTCATGAAGTGCCCTGTTCATTTTCTTCTTGAGGTATTCACAGGCGGTTTCCTAAATAGCTTGTTTTGTGATTTTGCCCAGAACCCACGTCAAGCACATCTTACTATACAAATTGGAATATATCCTAAGAGATCATTGACTCTAACGTTGAGTGAGTCTGTGGTCTAGAATGTTCTAAATAGTCAGTGGGTTGAGGTCATTTAGGCAACCAGAAGAATAAGTTCATAAATCAAAATGAAATTTTAATTGCCAAATGAATAAATGTTGTTGAACTTACCTGAATGTTTTTACTATTGGTCAGATTATTCATTTTAATAATCTTTTAAAAATATCAAGCCTTTCTAATGTTGGGGGGGGGGGAGGAAAGAGATTTAAGATGACCTTCCAAAGAAATAAAATAGACTTTAACAGTGACTATATTACTCTATCACCACTACCATGGAAACCAGCAGCAGCCTTCCTCCTCATTGTGACATAAACCTTACATAAATTAGGAATTTCTTCTTAAACATGGTTCTAGTTCAAAACAATCATTGGCAACAAAATATAATTCAAGGAGTCTGCCTGGCTCATGAATACAAAATGTTGCATTAAAAAATAGCCTATAAACATGCATGTCATTAAAGCATTTATTTGCTTTAGTTTCAGGTACATAAATTCCTGGCGTTTCTGCTTGAAAAGTCCTGACAGCTGAAACAGCAGGAATTCATGAACCAGTAAGTTATTCTTAGAAAAGCCATTCAGTGGAAAGTATATTAAATGGGCTCACATCTCGGCTCTGAATAAAAAGAGGACACCACTTGCCAAACTGTTAAGGTTCCCAATTTCCCCTTGTAGTCACCAAGCTACTATTCTACAAAGAAGCAAGGGGACGCTACAGGACCAAGTTAAAATTCAGTAGCCTAAGTCTGAGACAGGGGACTTGGAGCTCCAGTTCTCTGGGAGGTGCCAGCAAGCTGAAGCCCAGCAGGTGACTAGAGGCTCTTCCTTATTTAAAGTGTTGGGGTCTTGGGGCACCCGCGTGGCTCTGTCGGTTGAGCGTCAGACTTCAGCTCAGGTCGTGATCTCGCGGTCCGTGAGTTCGAGCCCCGCGTTGGGCTCTGTGCTGATGGCTCAGAGCCTGGAGTCTGTTTCAGATTCTGTGTCTCCCTCTCTCTGCCCCTCCCCCATTCACACTCTGTCTCTCTCTGTCTCAAAAATAAATAAACGTTAAAAAAATAAGTAAATAAAGTGTTGGGGTCTCAATTCATGTCAGGGAAGGCAGATAGGCTGCACACGTCCAGTGAGTCATGCAGGTGGAAAGCACGGAGCCAAATGCACAATTTATGACCGCGCCCATCTCTTCAAGATTGACAACATGTAGGTAAAATGTGCATGGCAATTTTGAATTCATTATATTTTTTAAAGTTTATGTATTTATTTTGGGAGAGAGAGAGAGAGAGAGAGAGAGAAAGCACGTGCGCAGGCGCACACAAGTGGGGGAGAGGCAGAAAGCGAGGGAGAGAGAATCCCAAGCGGCCCCGCCCTGTCAGCCCAGAGCCCCACACAAGGCTCCATCTCCCGGATGGTGAGATCATGACCTGAGCTGAAGTCAAGAGTCAGACACTCAACCTCCTGAGCCACCCAGGTGCCCCTTGCATTCATTATCTGGAATAAAATATAAATAACACTGGTTAGGTAGTAAATTTTATGTTTAAGAGGAACTTCAACATATGTATATTATAGCATTGTATTATTTTTCTATTTTCACTTACTATTGTAACTCATTACGTTCATTTTCATTACATCACTCCAAGGGCTTTGAAATGCCAAAACAGATATTGATCCGTACGGATTCATTCTATTCATAGCAGAACTTTAAAACCAAATGACCCATCTGTCATGGGAAGCGTCTCCTCATAGACGTGGGGCGGGGCGGGGGGAGAGAAGGGGTGGAATGACACGAGGTCTCAATGGGTTTCAAGTTTACTTGGTGAGATTGAAATTGACGCTCTGTGTATCTTATGGATGTAATGCGTGTGCTGTAGTACCAACCTCTGCCACTTGGTGGAACACAGAGAAAATGACAATATCCGTTCAACACTTGGGTTTCAACTTGGGATGGATGGGTTTGCTGATAACTGGGAGCTGATATCGGCTTTACCTCGCTACCTTGAGGGCTGAGGGCTTCAATATCTTGGCACTCCTATAATGGCTTCATAATTCAAAGGCTGGGAAGCTGTGCTAGAGAATAGTTAGAGTATAACAAAATTCAAAGTACAGCCAGCTGCCAAAGGAGCACGTGTTCTACTAATGGTTTTGCAGTGAAGTCTCCTAACAATTAAGGAAGTGTTGTGTGAGATTTTAGGAACTGAACCAGATCAAAATAAGAGCTAGGGAAGCCATTCAAAACACTATGTAGTCATTAGTCCCTATTATTAGTGTGGATATTTCCTGCTCCTAAATACCTTGAGAAAATACGGATTCAAGGCTAAACTCCCATTGTATCATAAGCACAGGGAATGAAAATTATTTTACTTAGATACTCCCAACAGTGCTATTATTGAATCAATGCTATATTGGTAAATTGCTTCAGGGGGTAAGTAAATCATGACCCTGTGAGCTGAAGTTGAGATACTAACCTCAGTTCCACTATGGATGCAGCTGTGACCTTGAGTACCTCACTAACTCCCTTTGTGCTTCCCGCTCAGCATCTCGCAATAGAAACAAATGAGACTTGCCCTCTCCTTTTTTCACGGGGATAGAATGAAGAGAAATGGGGAATTAAAGGTGGAACTCTGTGCTGAAAGAATAAAAAGCTCAGCAGTGAGACACGGGCCCGGGCCCATCTCACATGGGGAGCATCATCTGCAAGTCAGAATAAGAAAACCACAACACAAGCCCACGTCCCTCCTCAAACTCGTCACCCGGGAGCTCAGCGGGGCAGACCAGAGACGCCCAAATCTCACTGCATGGTTGCCAGTGGGAGACAAGCGTTGGTTAGCTTCACAGCCATCTCGTGGGCGACACCACCACCACCCGACATAAGAGTAGGACTTGGGACTTCATAAACCAGTTTCGCCAATTGTCTTTAGATGAATCAAGTGGAGACCATGTGCCACAACTCGATAAAGTACCTACACCCTAATCACATGGCTCTTCTGTCTCATTCCCACCAGATTTCTTCAGCATAATTGTATTACGCACATATCACGGAGAGCATTTTTTGGATTACATAATCTGCAAATATTGTGAGTAACTTCTTTACAACTATGAGTACAATTTTAAGTAAAGATTAAAAGAGTAGAAATGGCACTTTTTAAAGGCTTGACTTGGCTATAGCAAAATGGGAGAAATAGGTTACCAGAAAGTACTTAGATGAGTTATTAACCTAACGGAATTATTAAAAGATTCCTAGTTTTACCAGAAGACAGAAACAAAGGCTCTCCTTAACCTTGTCTTCTGAAGTTTGGGTCATTTCCACAATATTTTAGCATTTTTTTTCTAACCGTTGCTAACTTACCTATCTGTTTTCTTAAAATGCTAGTCTACTAAGGATGTGACCAAAAGTGACAGAAGCAAAAATCACCTACTCTTATACTCTTAACAGAATATAATATCCCAACACGTTATTTGTGGCCAGTTTGCTGGTCCTGTCCCCAGTGTCATACACACCAGGCTCGTGGTTATCTGTATCTTCTTATCCAGCTGAATGCTTTCAGAAACAGATGTCCCTACTCCATAATCATCATCAGCGGCTCACATTCTGATTATATGTGACTAAAATGAAGTATTGAGTTTGCCTAATTGACTCGCTCATGCTATTTATAGGTATCTCAGCCACAACTGTATTACAACTCTCAGACCCGGAGTATTCAAAGACTTACATCAGCTAACTTGGCTGTAAGTATCCTAGCTTTTCCTTCAGAAGATCGGATAGATCAGATAGACTATATATGCTTATAGTCTCCATCTATTTATGTATCTTGTTTATTACACTCATTTTTCTGATTGTCACATCATCTGGAGCACATTACCCAAGCAATTCAGATAATAGCATGCCAAATGGTAGTTGTGTGCAAAGGAACCTGTGCCGTGCTTTTTCCAGGTGGCTTTCTGAGCCATGTGTCCATCCAGTGTTGATCTATTCCAGCATTTCTCAACCTCAGCTCTATTGGCATTTCATCTAGAGAATTCTTTGATGAAGGGGGTGTTCTCTCATATTTGGGGATGTTTAGCATTATCTGCGGTCTCTATCTCACTAGATGCCAGTGGTACTGGTTCCCAGAGGTGTGACAACCAAAGATGTCTCCAGACATTCATTTCAACGGACCTCTGTTGAAACCCACTGACCTAGAAAGTAAGCAAGTTAGGGACCTTTTAGAGTTCCAGAGCATTCATAGAAAAGTCTGAAGATATGGTAGCTTGTGGTGTTTCATCACTTTCCTGGCTGAGCCACCAGCTCCCTTCTGAGGAGTCTCACATCAGATATTTGTATTTTCACCAGGAAAATGGACATTGGCCTGTTAGAAGGCTCTATGTTTCAGTCTGACATTTCTGTAGGTCAGATTGGTCTGGTGGAAAAAGCCAGAACTTCAACTTTATCCAGATCCTGCGTATGCTGTGGGCCTCTGTTAATGTTCCAGGCAACTTTCTTAATCTTCCTGGGCTGCTTTATTTCTCATCTGTAAACTAGAAGCACAGCTCCTTTTTAAGAGTGATGGCGTGAGTATTAAATCACAAGGCAGATATAAACTGCCACATGCAGAGCACTTGGCATATCGCAGGTGTCTAATGTCACTTCCTTCTCCAAATCCTACTCTCAGGAACCGCTGAGAGTAAGAGGAAATGGTACCTGGCTTCAAAGGCAACAGGAGAAAAGAAGGCATATTTCCCCCTTAGTCTATTTCTTTCTAGGAAAATACCGTATATGGTTAGAAATGGTTATTTGAATATATGAGTATTTTCACGCTCTCATCCTCAAAGCTCCTAATGAGCTGGTTGGTACAGACCTTATAAATGCATCATTTAAACACCACGAGACCAAAGAACCATTTGTGATTTCCTATGAATTTTTTTTCATCCACTCTTCATTCAGTCAATCAGTAGGTCAAAGCATTTGTGGAGCCTGTATTCAGCCAATTAATAATTCAGCTTATGCTGGATTCAAGTATCCAGAGGTGAGGGGTCTGTCTCTGGTCTTTAAGTCCAATGGGAGGCAGATGCAGTCAGAGAAAACAATCAGGACGAACCCCTCATAAGGGCTGGGACAGGGGGTGGTGGAAATTTGGAGGAAAGAGCTAGGAAGGACTCTTAGGGAAGAGGACGGGGAGCCAAGTGTGGACGGGCAGGAAAGAGGAGAGCAGGTGTTGGGAGGCAGGATTGTCACGGGCTTTATATTGTTTCCTGGTTTCATTTCACAGATGTCTCTAATGGTGGAAATATTTTTGATATTTTTTTTTTTTTTCAGAATTCTAGATGACAATCCAATAACCAGAATTTCCCAGCGGTTGTTTACTGGACTAAAGTCCTTGTTTTTCCTGTAAGTGTTCATCTACCCTTCAATACATCTGTCTATAAATTGCAGTGACATCTAACACTAGCTTGCAAAATGAGCTTTAAAAACCTCAAGCCCATTAACATTTTTATTAGTCAAAACCTTTCCTGTACCTCCAGCCACAGTTACTGTTGTGACTTCCTAGCCTTGGCTCGTGGTATATTTTAAACCTACTGGTTGATTAATTTTTGATCTCCTTTACTTTCCTTTAATCTTAAGGCACGTTTTACTTGCAGTGGTTGACCAAAGATAGTATTCATTTTTATCTCCTAACTACATTTAAATCTATCAGAATCTCCTGGGAGTTCAGCTCCGACTACATTTTTGACAGAGGGAAATGTGCCTTTGCCCAGCAAGAGTCTCTAAACATTCCAAAACCTTTGTCCCACTGACAGAGCTGTTCTCATAATTACATTCTCACTGTTTATTAATACACTGAAATGATTTATCAGCAGGGGATTATTATGTTCCTTTATAGTTCATCGCATGGCATCATTATTTTTCCATTTGTCAAAAGGGACCACAATATCATAAATTAATCGTGCAACTTAACATGCTGATGGGTTGTTTTCTTTCCCCCAGTGCCCCCTGCGATCGCTTCTTAGATTTAATGCAGTTTCCAGTGTGGCCCCTTAATACTGTAAATGATTTGTGCTTCCCTTAAGAAAAAACTTTGGATGTAGGATGTGGAAATGATTACAAGTTTGAAGTTTACAAGGAAAATTACCATGAACTTCAAAGTTATTACTCAATACATACTTTTGTTTGATCTCGTAAAATTAAAGCGCATAATATTTATTCCCAGGTTATATATCATACTTTTGCGCTCAGCCTCTTTGACATGTGCTTTCTTATCTGTGCTATACATATATCTAGAGACCATTTTGAAGAAGTAATTATGTTTTTATTTTTTATCCTGCTATACTGATTGTAGCATGCAAGTTTCCAAATTGTGGAAACAGTAAAAGTGCTGTTCTTAAAGGGGCATATCCTTTCGTTTCTAACTAACATCTTCTTTGTGCAAAGGTCTATGGTTAATAACTACTTAGAGGCCCTTCCCAAACAGATGTGTGCCCAAATGCCTCAACTCAACTGGATGTGAGTATGCATTTAGGAGCTAATTTGTTCTTAAGGAAACCAGCCCTGAAGTTAATTCATGATTACATAAAAAGCCCATAAAAAAGCCCATCTTTCCAAAACTGAAATCTGATTATGTTATTTCCTGGTTTAAAAATCTTTTGAGGGGTGCCTGGATGGCTCAGGTGATTAAGCGTCTGACTTTGGCTCAGGTCATGATCTCACGCTTTGTGGGTTCGAGCCTCATGTCGGGCTCTGGGCTGACGGCTCAGAGCCTGGAGCCTGCTTCGGATTCTGTGTCTCCCTCTCTCTCTGCCCTTCCCCGTTCATGTTTGTTCTCTCTCTCTCACTCGCTCTCGCTCTCAAGAATAAATAAACGTTAAAAAAATAAATTAAATTAATTTAAAAAGAAAAATCTTTTGAGAATTCCCATGGGTGTACAAGTTAACTTCAGACTTGCCCCTTGAGCACCCGAGACCCCCCATTTGTATCCCTTCCTCCATCTAGACTACTACCCGGCTCCTTCTATGTGCCTTCCTTCCAGATGCACCAAACTGCTATAATCAGTTCCCTGAGCACATATTGTTCCTTCAATTAGAAAAGTCTTTCTCCTTTATTCTTTCGGTCAACTCCAAAATTTCGGTTAACTCCAAAAGTCAGCATAAACATCCACTCTAGGAAGCTCTCACACCAGCCAATTACAGTGACTGCCTCTGTGACTCCTTTGCACCATGGACAGGCTTCCACCACGGCACCCATTCCCTACACACCTATCTCGGTTCTACTGTCACCATCTTGCCTGTCCCCCCCCCCCCCATTGTGTAAATTCTGTGAGGGCAGAGACCCACCTTGTGATGTATACCCCAGCGTTTGTACACCAACCAGCACATAATAACTGCTCAACAAACCTTTGTTAAGCCAAAGTGCTAAACCGTGTCCACTCCTTGTTAGCTTTCAACCAATACTTGTTTAAATCGTCTACTTAAGTTAATTCATGGCTTCACCACCACTACTCACCCCTCCCTGTCACCTTCATCTTCAAGGTCTCCTGAGACAGGCAGTTTTGGCATCCACAGTGATTTCTTGTCCTGTAAAATGCTGGCTGTACTGTCCCACAGAACTCTTCTCACTGTCAAACCAGGAGACTCGATACTCCTAGGATGATAAAATTACAGCACCTCAGCCTCTGGTCCTTTCTGAGCTAGCCTCACAATTACTTTCTACAACTCTTAGGGGTCCTTATGTTTATACGGACTTTTATTTATTTACATACCTGTTATCAAAGACTTCTAAAGCCATAGAGGTCTCATGTAAGCGTGCCATTCCTGAAGTGGAAATAATGCTCTGAAAAACATGAGAATCATACTTGTTAAGAATAGGTGGGGGGGAAAAAAAAAACTTAGAAAAGACAAGAGCATAGCTGCACCATGGAAGCAAACAGGAAAGAGTGAAGGTAGCAGAAAAAGATCAGGGCCCGAGCCTGCCTCTCCTCCAATGGGCATCAGCAACCAGGAGGAGAGCAGGAACCAGCATCAGAGCCCCGGGTTCTGGTATAGTCGTGGTCACTTGAGGCTCCCTCAAACACGAGGGGAGAAATAGACACCCAGTGAAAATATCATTAGTAAGATTGTCCCATCACACATGAGAAAGGGCCTTGAAACCAAGAGGACAGAACTGAGAGGTCAGACCCAAAAAAACCCTTACAGGAAGGAAAACCCATACCCTGGCCAGGCTTCCTCACTTGCCATCAGCAGGGCGGTCGCTCGCCAAGTCCTTGCTGCTGTACTTGTGAAGTGTGAAAACCACTTGTTCCCATCCCACCGAGCAATATTTGGGCTTTTAAGAGAGTACGGTGTTTACTCTTTTAGCCACAGTATTTTCAGAGGGAAAAAAACTATCAAGTTCCTACCAGACCATCTGGATGGGTATAAAACAGGATTTAAAAGGAAATGACACACGACTGGCGATTTTAGTGTTAACGTGAGAAATGTTCACAGGCGGCAAGACAGCTATTGTCATATATGGGGAAGATTGTAAGAAGCGGACTATAAAAAGGGGTTAGGAGACTTGGCAGGAAAGTCTCCTCTTCCTCATTCCTCGGCACCGCTGGAAGCCGTAATGTCAGAGCGCTCCTGGGAGGGTCCCTGGTCGCGTGGGATGCCGCTGTCACAAAGGATCGCCGGCAGAACGTCACAGCTCCCGCGCTCCTCAAACAACACGAGGCCTTGTTAGGACCTCGGTCCTTTTTTTTTTTTTTTTTTCCTTTTTTTGCAACGACGTGGATGGAGCTAGAGGGTATGATGCTGAGTGAAATAAGTCAGTTAGAGAAAGACACATACGATACGATCTCACTCATATGTGGGATTTAAGACACAAAACAAATGAGCAAAGAAAAAACAAAAAACAAAAAACAAGAGAGAGCGACAAGAAACAGACTCTTACCTACAGGGACCAAACTGATGGTTACCAGAAAGGCGGGTGGGGGGAGGGGTTAAATAGGCCAAGAGGACCAAGTGGGGGGGACCTTTGTGATGAGCACCAGGTGTTGTATGGGAGCCCTGAAGCACCTGAAATGTTGCACACCTGAAACTAATATAACACTGTATGTTAACTATACTCAGATGAAAAGGCCTCAGCCCTAGAGTAGCAACGGGACGGAGTCCAAGAGTCTGCATTTCTCAGCAGTTCCCAGGTGACGCTGAGGGCTGTCCCAGCCACCTTGGAGCAGCGCTAACACTCAGCACCGGGGTCTCAGAGGCAGAGCAGAAAGAGCGGTTGCGGTCATCAGGCAGAGGGATACAGATGCCTGACTCTGGGATTTAGTATCTGGAAGATGATTGTGCCTGAGTGTCTCCTTAATCCAAAATAGAGACAAAAGTATCTACCTGCGGCCAGGGGAAAGTGAGGATGGAAGGATCTATGATGCATGGTTTAGTGTCCAGACTTTAGATAGAGAGACGTCTGAGTGAGAAGGTCAATTCTACTGCTTACCAGCTGCGTGGCCAGAAATTAAGTGAATTCCCAACGGCCTCACTTTCCTTATATGTTGGGGGGAGGGATAATACCAATTTAGCAAGAGCGCGATTATGCACTCAGAACAATATCTGACACCATAAAAGTCTAATAAATGTAGTTGCCGCTATTATGGTGGCAATATTATAATTAATAGCATGGTATCCGGCACAGAAACACTCACTAAATGTTGAGCTGCCCTTTCCCTCAATTTTATTAAGCTCTAACATTAATTGGAAGGGGAAAAGAAGCACAATATTAATTATATTAACCTTGTAATAATTGGGAAGAAAGCATAAACACTGAAATGAAGTAAAGAATAAAGTTCAGGGACGCCTGGGTGGCTCAGTCGGTTAAGTGTCTGACGTCAGCTCAGGTCACAATCTCGTAGTTCATGGGTTCGGGCCCCGTGTCAGGCTGTGTGCTGACCGCTCAGAGCCTGGAGCCTGCTTCGGATGCTGTGTCTTCCTCTCTCTCTCTGCCCCTCCTCCACTCATGCTCTGTCGCTCTCTGTCTCTCAAAAATGAATAACCGTTAAAAAAAAATTCCTGTAAATGAAGTTCAGAACTGTTATGGCCACGAAAAGCGCCTCCAGACATGTGATTCGTGCAAAAACATTAAAAATATCTTTCCCCCGTGCATTTTAGGGATTTGGAAGGCAATGGAATAAAATGTCTTACGAATTCCACCTTTCTGTCATGCAATTCACTCACAGTGCTGTAAGTATACAATGGAAATTAGTGAACAAGGGGAAACCCGATAGATTTGGAAGTCAAAAGAAAACAATGACAAGGAATTTTAAAATAGTCTTTTATTTACAGCCTCGGTCTGGAACTACACTCCTAGAAAACGCACCCATAGGTTGCTGGATTTTGACGGTGGGCCTAGCCTTCAGTTGAGCTGCCCAGCAGCTAGGTCTCCAGCTGTCCCCCTTCTTGCTGAGGGCAATTGTTATTTCACTGCATCCTCTCAGCTGAGCCGAGCTGGTGTCTAACCCCGTGATAACCAAGGAAATGAGATCATGTGTGAGAAAATGCTTAGCTCTACAATAATGAGTGCTTACTGCCAGGGGCACTTATCCCTTGATGTCTGTCGCTCTCTCTAAAGAAAAAAAAAACTGATAATTTTACTCTTTAGGGAAGAATATCTAGTGTATTCTGATCTGCCAAAGATTCTGATTGGTGATTGGGATTGCTGATTGTGTTTTTTTTTATTGGGCGGGGGCGGTGCCCAGGGGTTGGTTACGCCACATTTACACTGGTGAAAAAAAACACAAGAATTTTGCTTTCGTTTTAACCAATAGTTTTCCACGTGTAGTAAGCAGTTAGTAATGTCTGGTGGTTGCACAGGTGGTTGGAAAAGAAAAATTGGAGTATATTCATTTGTAGTAGTCTAACCACTGTTTTTTTTTTTTTTTCACCAAACTAAGAGACGAGGTTATTGCCAGGCTACATATTTATCAGTCAGATTACAGACCAGCATATTGAATGAGAAAAGAGGGGCTATCCCACTCAGAAGATGCAAATAGTTGACTCTTTTTCTTGTGGGTAATGAGAGAAAACACTGGTAAACTCAACAAATTACCTTGACACTTTTCTATTTTACAGCCCCGTGTAGCTTTTGAATCACTGTCATACTCACGAGCTCTCCTCTGTAGGGCAGGTAGCTGCCAACCCCCTCTTTGTACCGTAGGTCTTGAAGAATTCCATTTCTAGACAAAGGAAATGTAAAACCAGTGCCCTCACCACCACCACATTTAAAATCCATCTGTGGCCCCATGGGTTCAAACTCTGTTCTTTCTGGCCTTCTCCTAAGGAATATGCCTTACACAAGGCAAACCCCGCTCTAAGTATTAACGGGGTCGAAATCTGACATTACATGTGTGTTGGGAAGTAAACGCTTTCTGAAGCCATCAGAATGGAAACCAAATGCAGCCTTAGAGACCACACTCAGCCCCTCACGTTACCTATGGCTAGCGTTTCCTGGAGAGAACACGTAGATATCCTCGGCGAGAAACTCCTGCCTTGTGCTCCACACCAGATCACGCCTCACTTTGAGACTTCACAGGAGGCCTTGAGAAATCACACGTGGATCACTGGCATCTCCCAATGAGGACTGATTCTTACCGCAGACACAAACCAACAGTGCTGACTCTCACCATGTCTTACAGGTTTCTGCCTAGAAATCAAATTGATTTTGTTCCAGAGAAGACATTTTCTTCATTAAAAAATTTAGGAGAACTGTAAGTAGCATTGTCTACTAGGAAAATAGGATTGCTTCTTCCAAGATTATAAATTTAAATGACTAGTGAGGCTTCTTTTTCACTAGTGCCAATCAAATCCTGCAGACTCCCGGATATTCCAAATCAATTAAGAAAACCAACATTATCCTAAAGCCAAAAGCAAATTAAAATTAAACAGTGGGCTTAATACGGATTTAGCCTACGCTAATTTCTCTGCCTATTTTCTTTGGGTGATTTCGTGTGTGTGTGTGTGTGTGTGTGTGTGTGTGTGTGTGTGTGTGTGTGTTGGAGCAAATGGGCTTTCTGTAACTCCTTAAACTCAAGGATCATTATCTCTAATGGCTGGCGTATAGTTAACTCTCAGTAAATGCTTGCTGAATGAATGACTGCAATAATATTAATCATGACTGAACAAAGGAACAAAGATGCTTATTATCCCTTGAGAAATTATGACTTCTAGAGCAGATGAAACAAATACTAATGTCTAGAATGATCAGGCTTATTGAAAAATGTGCAGAGAGATCATGGAGCTTTTTCTGTTCAAATATATGTTTTGTAGAGCTAAAACTTTTAAAAGCATCTGCCTTGCGATTAATTCACTGCTACCCACATAATTGTGTGTCATTGGAAGTTAAAACTCAGTCTGTTACATTATAATTAGTGGCGATTAGGATACAGAACTCCTCCTCCTGATCTGAAGCCTAAAAAATGGAAATGAATTTCTTAATTAATCTCTCCCCCCTTCTTTATACCTTGCTTTGAAATACAGAAAGGCCTGGGGAAAATAACTCAGTAAGAGTCACTTGCAAACTAATTCATGAATAATTAAGATAATTCAATCTCATGTATAAGTATCACAAACCAAATGCGTATATATTTACTAAGTGCCTAGTATGTGAAAGACATGGATTAGAACTACAAATATTGTCATTCTATGGCACAAAGTGAAAGGCAGCTCCCTTAGAATTGCTCATTCTTCCTCATGAGGCTTTAGGGGTTTGCTAGGGATTTGGGTTACAGGGTGGGGCAGGTGAACAGCCCAGGACGAACAGGAGTGATGTTTTCAGTACAAACTTAAGGAGATGGTGGTACGGAGTTCGTATTTTGAAAACTATTCAAATCCTCCTTTTATCCTACACTTTGGCAGAGCTCCACACACCCCGGCCCCCCAAAAGAGCCATTAGCTTGCTTTGTGAAAGACCACCAATAATTCATTCCAATCCACTAGTCCCCAGTAAGTGGAAAGAAATTCAGAAGTTTACAGAATTAACTTGAACAAGGTATTTTTAACTCCTCAGTTTACAATAGCGTTAGATAATTTTCCTGAGCCATTGTGACCACAAACGCTGCCTGGAGGGCAATCAAACAGACTTAGGGGAGGCCACTAAAGCCCTTTCCCCTACGAGACTGTACTTTGTTTTTCAACGTGACCCTTAGCAGGATGTTTTCTAGCTGTACAAGAAATCATCGTCTTGCTGTGTGGTCACGCTCTCGCTGACCCATGTGTGCCTGTGGCTGTCCTTCTGCGCTACAACCCTGGGGTTCTCTGCTCACTTACAGCTCCTCAGATCAGAATTTTCCAGCTGGCGGGATGTCTACACTTGGGTATCATGACAGCTCCTCAAAAGCATCTGTTACAATTAATGTATAGATGACTCTTACCCCCCTGTCGGCTTCTTCCCCTGAACTTGCCATCTTAGCGGTATCAGCATCCTTCCTGGCAGCCAGGCTCAAAGCCTCTTCCTTTCTTTCCGACCCTCATTACGCTTCATGTCCCACCGGACTGTGAGCCCTGGCTGTGCCCCCTTAAGCCCTCATCTTCTTTCACCTGGTCCAGGGTCAAAGCCTCCTGCCTGGTCTCCATCCTTTTACTCCTTGACTTTCCATGCTTCTGACAGAACTGTCTTCCCATAATGCAGAGCATAGTTTGCCCCTGTCCTTCTCCATATTCTCACTCCTTGTTGCTAGCTCTCAATGTTAATGTTCAGAAGAATCACAAGGGATACTGGCTTTAAATGCATGTTACCAAGCTGCCCCCACTCAGAGATTATGAAGTGATAGTCCTGCTGGAGTGGGCACCAAGATAGTTCTTTGAGTGGGCACCCAGGATTTATAAGCATCTTCCTTGGTTCTGATGCCTGGGCTATGCTCTGGGAAGTACCGCCTTGGAATCTGTTCAGGGCTCTTCCATTTTGTCTCCGTGCTTATTTCCAGGCTCACTTCTTCTACATCTCCCCATACTTTCCATCCTTCACCCACGCTGGGCTATTTACCAACTAGAGAAGATGTCATTGAATTCCAAGTTTCTGTTTCTCTGAGCCTGGTTAACCCTCACCTGAAAAGCTGTTCTTCTATTCCGCCTATGAAAATCATAAAGCTTTGTTTACACAGTTCCTAATTTCCAACTCGTTCCTCTGTTTTCTTTTGTCAGTAGGTCTGTAATAGCACCTGCTTCATTCCATCCTTGTTTTATAATCTAGTTGCTTATTCTAATTGTAAGCTTCTTTAGAAAGATATCTAAGTCTTAAGTTATTTGTAGCTCCCACCTATCCAACCATCAACAGCTCCAAAGCATCAAAAATAGATAAAATCTTTTGTTTGACTCTTAAGCAATTGAATGTCTGTTTCACTTCTCAATACCTTCCCTGGTTCAGAAGCATATTTTGGACTCTTAAAGATTCCTGATTCCTTCTTTTCCTAGATAATCCTTTTCTACATTCTCTAGAAACACTTTGCCATGATTCTTCATGGATAGGACGGTACTGTGATACTTTGTTCTAAAATTTTAATTTCCTTAAAAAATAGTACTATAACAAAATAGATTTAAAATGCATGAACTTATCCATTCAAGACTATCTGGGGAGATAATATGTGGCCAATACCGTCTTAGTTGGAATGCAAAGTAAGTAAAGGCAAAGGTCTTGGCCTCAGAAAGCTTCTGATAGAGTTGGATAAATAAGATATCGCATACTTGAACCCAGGAGGAATCACAAAAACAAATGAATGATCGAAGTGTACAAAGAGTACCTGAAACAGAGGAAATTAATCAAAGTAGATATTGAAGCCAGGTTGGGAATGTGTTGGAGAGGGACTGAGAGGAAATTCCAGACAGGAACTGGATGAGCAAAATGTCACACGTCTGAAATGATGGAAAACATATCCATTTGGCTGACTCACACAGCCCTGTTTTGTAACAAGTTATCAGGATGGTTAAATTGGATCCTATTTTCTGTTACGTCAAATGGGATGGTGATAATTGTGAAGAGTAATACCCATGTCATTTATTTCCAATGTAATTGCTTTGGGTTTTCGCTGTCATCAACAGGGACCTGTCTAGCAATATGATAATGGAGCTACCAGCCCACCTTTTTCAAGACCTGAAGCTTCTACAGAAACTGTAAGTTCTTCTTCCCACCCACCATCATCAGATTTAAATGGCAACATCTTGAGCTTCCAAAATAATAACATCCTGATGCTTCTTTCCTTCCTCTTTCTAATGGTACAAAAGGAATCTGTCGTCCAATCCTCTTTTGTATCTCCACAAGAACCAGTTTGAAAGTCTTAAACAGCTTCAGTCTCTGTAAGTGAAATGTAACGGTATATTGATTATCATTTGAGTGGATATGTTTTACTTAGAACCACGTTTATTTTTAAATGGGTACTTTATGCAGAGAGCTCTTACTCTGAGCCCATGCCATCAGACAATTGTGAGTATCATTGTTGCCATCGAGTATGTGCTGAAATGACAACAAAGCCACCTCTTTTACCATTTAATCTGTTGCAAAGACCATTTCTGTGTCTGAAGCTACATGTACCGGGTTCGTATGGAAAAATCTCATCCTACAATTTTCCCGAAGAATTACATTTTCAGTAGGTTGGTTACTGAACTGTTGGTAAAAAGCAAATTATATACGACTTGCCTGCTTTTTCCTTTCCCATTTGCTACGACAGTCTACTTGACATTGGTCTACAGTGCATGCTTTTTCTATTTCTACCAGTAAAGAAAAAAATATCCTAGCAACATGAACATTCAGACACTTAATGTTGCTTCGTATTTTAAAATTTCAAACATATTAGTGTCAAGAACTCTGCCAGTTCTCCTTTGAACTTCCTCATCCCTTTTCTATGAACAGCCATTGTTGGTTCAAATTTGTTTTTACACAGAGAACATATGCATTACCTGATCTCAGCCTAAAGCCTTCGCACATTTAATTCTAAAGTCTAATTCTTAATATCACTTTTTCTTCTTGCTAAATAATTTTCTTTTGGCAATTAATGCCAGATTTACGTTCTCCTTCAAATGCTCTCTCTCATTAGTAAGCATCCACCGATGAAAAAAGACTTCCCTCATTTTGTTTGAAGATTCATTGAAATATTGATTCCACAAACATTTGCCAGCCATCAACTTACCTGTAGCGCTGTCTTAGGCATCCAAGATATAATGACCTCTGCCCTTTTGGAAACTATCAGCTATGAACCAAATGATCAAATAATCCATGTAGAGCTAAAACTGTGGTAAGTCCAGGAGGAAGCCAGAGAGAAAAGAAAGAAGAGGGAAACAAACCCTCTAAAAAGGATTCGAGTTTCCTGCAGCACGGGCCCTGTGATGATTCTGGAGTATAATTGTTCTGCTAGGTTTCATTTCTGACTGCCAAAGAAAAGGCAGTGCTATGAAGGAGTCAACGGACAAGGAAACCTCAGAACCATGTCAAGAAATCCCTCCTCAGATCAAGCAAAAAGAAACTGAGTGAGAATCAGACAGCTTTCAAAAATAACCATGAAAAGTAAGAGGCTTCTGTCTTTTTAGATTTTCCTCTCTCCATCTGTTTCCTGAGAACATGGCAGGTTCCCTTAATTCATGCCACCCTAAAGAGTCTTCAAAGAATCCATATTTGAAGAAGCTTCTGGATAAGTGAGGAGTATAGGAGTTCCCACTGCAGCCCTCTGAGGACATCTCATGGGGTCTGGGAAGGAAAGGCATTATACTTCCCACTACTATCTTAGGAACGCTTGTTCAGAGTTGGAGCCCTGCTTACCGCTTCCCTGGTTTTCCACCCTAAAGACCCATAGGCCTGGAAGAAACAACTGCATTTGAATCCAGGCCCCCACAAAAGTCACTTCAGTGATGTTCTCAGATTGGAACTACCAGCTCCTGTCAAACCCTCCACAACTCACATGTCGTGGTCCATAAAACCAAACTATGCAGCCAATTTCATGATCACACTAATCACCACTGCCATCTTTAAATCAAAGAAACGCATGAAAATGTCTTATTAGAATTAATTCTGCACTTCAAGTGACAAAATCAGTTCCAACTTACAGAAGGCATAAATAGAAATAGCAATCTTCTAAGAGAGTTTACTCTAAAATTTCCATCCTGATTTGAACTGGTAACAAGACTTTGAAGCATGGCATTTAGGATAGGACAAAATGCGATTATTAAAAAGTTAAGCCCTAAAAACATGAAACCTATTGTGCATGTTTTCCAGAGACCTGGAAAGGATAGAGATTCCAAATATAAATACGCGGATGTTTCAACCCATGACGAATCTTTCTCACATGTATGTATGTATGAAAGAGTGGAGAAGTAAGCATGGTGAAATCTTGCCAATGTTCTAGTGTAAACTGTCTAATGTATCACTGCAATGTGTTTGTATGCAAGAAAAGTCTTTTTATTGAGAACTTTTTAATTTTGTCACCTTTGGTCCCTGTCAAATAGAGTTCAATATTATGATGTGCCGACATGAATGACACTTCTCCCTGGAAACACGCTGTTTATCCAATTGAGGTCCAATAAGAGATCAGGGTACCAGAATGCCACACATTACACAAGATGAAGCCACTGGCTAAATGGTACTCAGGAGACCTGGAAACATTAATTCACCTCACATGAATGAGCAGTCGGCTGCTCTAAGATTTGAGCCCTTAGGAAGAAAGGTGCTATATAAATTCCAGGTGTTGTTACTGTTACTAAGTGCACTACAAAATGGAGGTAATTAATCTTTATAGTAGTTTTTGATAAGTCACTTTAATATATTTGGCTAAAGTGCACTGTGTAAGTTGTGTTAATATATGTGTTTATGACATGATCATTTCTTTACCAGCTGTATAATCTCTGTGTTCATGATTTCAAAAATTAACCCTTGTTATCCACAACAGTAGGGAGGATTCGATGTAAGATTACAAGTTGGGTGCAGCAAATGGATGGAATGGTTGGTGTGAAAGTGCTCTTTTGGGAGAACAACATGTTTATGTCTCTGCAGTAGGTGTGACTACTAAAAGACAAATATTTGATGCGTATCCACATGGCTTTCCTAATTTCCCTTTCTGTGGCACCAGTAGATACACATTTAATGAGGCGATTATTTCCTTGTCGCAGGCAGAAGGTGAGGTCCTTTTAGAACAGAGAAATTCACCCTTAATAGAACATGATGGAGAAGGTGCTGCTTAAGCTATGAACTTCGGGTTGAGGTCAAGAAGGGCCCAACAATGAACAGAAAATGTATTAAGTTAGTTGCTTCTCTACTGAGTGATCTATTCTTCTTTCACCTTCCTCGTCCACCATTTATTGAAACACGTCCACCTCATAGCCCCCAACACTTTCTGCCAGCCAGTGCCTTGGTCACAGCAGGAGGAGAGATTGAATGACCAAGACCCTAGCTGGCTCTATCTGAAGGCAGCAGACATGAGGGAATCTCCTTTAAGAATCTCCTTTAAGACTAAGAGGTCAAGTCAGGTGTGTGCCAGGGACTCCAGGCAGGGAGAAGATAAAAAGAGAATTTATACATCAAGCTGCTTGAATCGGATAGATGATGTCAGGAAGCTAGGCTGTGAGCTACTTGGGGGCAGTGATTGCCCCCTATTTCTCTACCTGACAAGCCCAGCACTGAATTATCCATCATTCACTTGCTCATCTAGGAAGTGGCTAGAGGAGGGCTTCCCATGTGTCAGGCCCTGTTCTAGATCTGAGAACACAGGGATGAACAGGAGAGAGAAGTGTCTGCCTCACGGAGCTTCCGTTTAGCTTTGGGACCCAGAAAGCGAACAAATAGTTAACACAAACTGTGAAGAGAAGCAGAGCAAGATGGAGGGCCAGAGGGAGGATGTAGATGGTTCACGTAGAAGTCAGAGAGCTGGGCCATCTGAGCAGACCAGAATGAAGGGAGGGAGCAGGCCTGGCGATGTCTGGGGGAAGAATCTTCCAGGCAGGGGGAACAGCAAAAGCACTGCAGTGATAAGGGGGTGAGCCTGGCTTGTTTGAGTTTGGGAAGAAAGGGTGCCCGGGTGGAACTAGCAATGAAGGGAAGGAGGTGAGTGGATCCGGGCATCCAGTCTTGAGGGGCCTTGAGGCCGCGGCAAAGGAAAGCTTCCTTTAACTCTGTAGTCTCAAAACTGAATGGAAAGATGGTTAAAAAAAAAAAAAAAAAGGCTTAGACAAAGAGAAATGAACTAAAAGAAGTTGTATGGGGGGAAAAAAGTCTAAATACACAGGTTTAGGGAGCAGCAGTAAGCCAAGTGACCTCCCAATTCAATCACGTGAAGCTTCCACACACCTAGGTCACAAATACCTTGATCACAAACAAGCCTGTATTTTTCTCTAGAAACTGCGTAAGCCCTTTCAGGCTCTGGTGAGAAATCTGCTTCCTCTCCTAGCTCCCGTGAGTCTGAGGTTTCCGAGTCTCAGAGACTCTCCCTTCCTGCCAGTGTCAGGGGAAAGGAGGCTGGGTAAGTGAGTGTACTTAAACTGAGTACCAGGCAGGAATGCTTTCGGCGAGGTCCTTTACATCCCCGACCCAAGCCCCCGAATGTTTGCTACAGATCAATGTAACAATGACAATTTGCTTTTTACCATACCCTAGAGAATAATCCAGGAAACTAGGAAGAAATAGAGTCCTGGAGACTTCACATTCTCATGTCCTCACCCGACACATCTCGGTCAAGCCACAGAATTTCTATGCCCTTTAGGCTCTTTGTCTTTCCAAGAAGAACACTGCCCAGAGTAACGTAATATGTAACGAGGAAACTCTAATTGCATAATCATTATTAAACAAAGATAAACACACCTAGTGAAGTTGCCTCCCTGAGAGAGCAGCAGCTCTGCTAGGATGGCAACTGTAGTTTCTCTGTCATTGCTGTAAAGTGACTCTTTTTTTCCCTTTGAATTTAGTTATTTCAAAAACTTTCGATACTGCTCCTATGCTCCCCATGTCCGCATATGTATGCCCTTGACTGACGGCATTTCTTCATTTGAGGACCTCTTGGCTAACAATATCCTCAGAATATTTGTCTGGGTTATAGCTTTCATAACCTGCTTTGGAAATCTTTTTGTCATTGGCATGAGATCTTTCATTAAAGCTGAAAATACGACCCACGCTACGTCCATCAAAATCCTTTGTTGTAAGTATGTTTCCTACCTACATGGATTTTGGATGTCTTCTGTGACCTGAGCACTAGATACATATTGGCCTTCAACAAAGGCACTTAGTACGGATTGGATGAGCTAGGCATTTTTTTCTCTAAGTATGAACTACTGTTCTCTTTGGCTTTCTGTTTTAGATTGCATGAGTTTGCAGTGATCCAGCATTCACCGCTGGGGGTTATATCTTGGAAATGGGGTAACAGGGAGCTAATGAATCAACAGAAAGATTACGGAGGGCAGGTTGTGGGTTACAAACTAAGTTCAGTTTGCCTTCAATTACAACAGCACCCATGCTCCTCGAGCCCAGAAAATTATTCTCTTTGTTAACTAGGCAAGTAATACTTATCTACTGTTTAAAAACTAGCTTCCCCCACAAAACTTACCCTCTCGCATACACCACCATTTTTAAAAATTATAAAACAAAGACCCAGTACAGTATTTTAGAATTGGACATTTTTTGTGAAGTCCATTGGCTTTTAGAGACTGCTGTAGTGTCGGTGTTTATATTAATTCATTTAATACAGGATGAAGGAAGTAGACCCAGTTAGGAAACCGAAACTGAAATGTTGGGAACTATCAACATACAATGTATTGATTGATTCCTTAACAGGTGCAGATTGCCTGATGGGTGTTTATTTGTTCTTCGTTGGCTTTTTTGATATAAAATACCGTGGGCAGTATCAGAAGTATGCGTTACTGTGGATGGAGAGTTTACAGTGCCGCCTCATGGGGTTCCTGGCCATGCTGTCCACCGAAGTCTCCGTCCTGCTGCTGACGTACTTGACTTTGGAGAAGTTTCTGGTCATTGTCTTTCCCTTCAGTAATATTCGTCCTGGAAAATGGCAGACCTCGGTCATCCTCATTTGCATCTGGATTATGGGATTTTTAATAGCTGTGATTCCGTTTTGGAATGAGGATTATTTTGGAAACTTTTATGGAAAAAATGGCGTGTGTTTCCCACTTTATTATGACCAAACAGAAGATATCGGAAGCAAAGGTTATTCTCTTGGAATTTTCCTAGGTAAATTATATTTTTCACTTTCTGGGCCAACATAATTTTGATAGAAATATCATATATTTCATCAACGGTGTTTTTGTCCTTTTCAGAAAGTAAATGAATATACTCAAGACTGTGTCCTTTTTTAAAGAAAAATTCTCACTGAGTATAGTTTTTATTAAACTTTTTATATAGAGATTTAGTATGGGAAACAAAAACATACTGTCAGGATCTCTGGATGATTTTTTATTATCTGTAAGACCCTTTGATTTTCACATTGTGACTATGAGCTGGAGGAAGTCTAGGTTAGTACCTTGACCTGTGACCCCATCAAGTTATCTGAACTCATTTTTTTTTTTTTACAATCTAGATATGAGTTAAGTAAATAATAATAATAAAATTCTGGAAACTCACTGACAGGAGATTATTGGAATGGAAATACCAAGAAGGTTTATTGCCTTTGGTAAATGCAGCTCTAAAATCAAAACTGGAAGAGTGCTTAATAAAACTGCTTTCAGTTTTTCTTAATTCCCTCTAATTTTTAAGAAAAGAAGACCCTACCTTCTCTGGAACAAAAGTGAATGAGAAGTGGAGCTCTTTAAGGTTAAAAAAAAAAAACACATTTGTTTTTGTCTAGTAGCTATCCCTGCTGTTTAAAATTAAGACGATTTCCATATCATTTCTTTAGAGCAGTGTTCTCATCTTAATTCCCCCTTCTCATCTTTTCCCCTAAGTGGTCGATAAGCTCTATCATCCTTTCTTTCTCATCAAATGTTTTTTTTCATCAAAATATACCACTGCCTTCTATTTCTTCCAGTCTCTACCTACCATCACCTTCATGTGAAACCTCACTACCTCAATCCTAAAGGGCTTATTACATTAGCCCTTACTAGTCTTTTGGCCTCAGGGGCTTTCTCTCTTCTATTAACCTGTTCACTCCCTGAGTATCAAAAAGGCCTCAGCTCTGAGACCTTCAATGACTCCCTGCTACTGCCAAGGTCAAGTGTACATTAGTCACTTAAGATACTTCACAAAATCGCTCTAACCACCGGTCCAGCTCTTCTTCATGGATTCCTTTTCTTCCTCTGAGAAATATACCTTCTTAGCACCATTTTAATAATACTCTTCACATACGACCCCGTTCTATAGCTATTTTTTCATGGACGTTGTAAGCTGTTCCTAGCATAGATGCACTTCATAGAGACCCCTCCTAACACACACACGCATTCCGCTCCATTCCATTCACTGATTCATCAATGATTTATTAAGCACCTGCTATAGGCCAGGCACTCTTTTGGACACTGGAGACACAACAGATCAGCCCTCACAGACCTACCACCAGAAAGGAGGATGAAGACAAGTAAACACATTCTTATGTCACAAACTGACAAATGCCACGAAGGAGGAGAACTGGATGTTCTAGGAGGCCCCAAATCTGAGCACCGGGGAAAGCTTTCCAGTAGGAATGAATCCAAATCCTTAGGCCCAAAGGATAAGGAAGGATTAACCAAGTGAAGTCTGTTCCAGGAAAAAACATAGTGGCGGTAGAAGTCCAAAGCCAAGGAACAGGCCCAGATGAAAGGCCAAGAAGTTAGGTGTAGCTGGATCTTATAGTTAAGGAGAGTGGGGTAAGATAGCACCTGTGATGTATTCCAGGTAGATCAAGAGATGCACACGCACACACACACACACGCACACACACTCATCATCATCATCACCTATATACACTTGGCTTACCTGTGAGAAGAGTCCTAGAGCCTTTTTTTCTCTTTAAAGAATATACAAATACACAGTTTTGAAATCAATTCTTTATTTTAGAGTGGAATAAGATTTAGAGAGACGTTGCAAGGACAGTAGCTTCCATTTACCCCTCACCTAGTCTCCCCTATTGCTAACATCTCACATCCCTATGGTGCTTTCAGAACACACGATTTTAATCCTTCCTGTAAGTCTGTTTTCACAATTTGTATTATAGGATCATCATTAAAAGTCATTACCTGTTATTCTTAACTAAAGTTTCTGACAAGAGGCCTAAGATAAACCAATTTTATAAAATTCTATTGAATGCCTTTGTTATGAGATTCTATGGAATGTGAAATGTTTTGGATGAAAACAACAGAACACTGGGAATTTATACAATTCTCCCCTAGACTTCACCCATCTTACACATAGTCTAGATTCAGAGGAACATTTTTTAAACAACTTCGAAATCGTATGCATGTTTTATGCTCACAGTGAGGAATGTGATAATTACTCTTAGTATTTTTATTCCAACAAGAATATAACAAAGTGACTAAGAAGTCAGCATTATAAGATAGTGATGTTAAGTGAGAAGTTGACCCTATAGTGAGAATATATTTGACCCTAAAAAATCATTCGTACAGTTGATTTTTTTTATTTTTTCTTCTCTTTTTTCTTCTAAAACAAGTCTAAAGGGTTCTGAATTTTAAATTACTGTAAGCTCTCTGAAAAAAAAAAAAAAACCCAAAAATGCATTCTTGTTCTATGTAATATTTTTACTTAAGACCAAAAACCATGGGAGATAATGTTTTTGAGACTATTATCTTCTTGATATTCCAAGTCATCTTGTTCCTATTTATAAGATAAAGAAATGGGGTCATGTTTATTTTTTGAGATAATCAGATGATGACAGTAATCCCTTCAGATCTGAATTTGCGGGGACTGAAAAATGAAAATAGCTTTATTCTGGCTTTCAAAAAGCTAAAATTCACCTCATGCTACACCTAGATCTGAATTTCAGAGGCCTGAAACTCTTTATAAAGGGTTTGTGTGTTTCCAGTATCTTTTTGATCCGACCAACCCAATTCTTTTAGCTTGTTGCAGCTGAGAGCCTTGAATTCAGGGTTTTTAGCTGATCGCCACTGGACCTATACAAAAATATCCTTGGAAGTACAGCCTAAGGAGGCGCCATAATGAACATCTATGTAACACAACACTTTTACTGTTGATTTATACACCTGAGATGTTAAGAGCTGTGCTTTTCCCAACAGGTGTGAACTTGCTGGCTTTTCTCATCATTGTGTTTTCCTATATTATTATGTTCTGTTCCATTAAAAAAACTGCCTTGCAGACTTCGGAAGTGAGGAATCATGTTGGAAGAGAGGTGGCTGTTGCAAATCGTTTCTTTTTTATAGTGTTCTCTGATGCCATCTGCTGGATTCCTGTATTTGTAATTAAAATTCTCTCCCTCTTCCGGGTGGAGATACCAGGTCAGTCCCTTCTATTATTCCCAAGTACATTGTGCTTTCTTTAGCCCCTTGGCAAGACAAGAATACAGTGCCTTACATATAGTAAATTCTCTGTAAACACCTACAAACAACTATTATTTTCCTTAATATTTTATAGTCTGTATTCTAAGACAGTAACTGGGTAGTGGTGCAATCCAGACAAGGATGATAAGGAAACGGGACTGAGAAAAAAAACGAACACTCAGCGTCTCGTTTCTATCTGAGCTAGACAGTGGCTCTTAACCAAGAGTACACATACAAAATCAAAATATACACAAAAAGCCCAGGTTCCACTCTGGGCTTCTGGATTTCATCTACAGGGACAAAGAGCTACACGCAGGTATTTTGGAAAAGTTCTCCATGTGCCCACGTGATTCAGAGGCACACACCCCTCCTTAAGAACCACCAGTTTATTTCACGGTCCTTGCCGTATGGTTGTCACTCTAGGCTCCGCTCTAGGGTGTTAGATGTTTGGTGGAATGGGGTCTCCCACCCACACCCCTAGTTCAACCAGAGGAAAAAAAAACCTTTCATTAGTTAGGTTTTTGTGCGAACCCCTTTCCGGGACTTAGAAATCACAGTCATCGAGGGGCCACCTGAGCTTTGGCCTGACTCCCAGGGACACGGGGTTTCTACTTGGGGGGGGGGGGTGCTCATCCGGGGCAGAATTGTATCTGTTCATCTTGGCACCCCAGGGTCAAGCATGGGGTGGACGCTTCGGAAGCACTTATAAAAGAGTGATGGATGTCCAGGAAACAAGCAGCTGTAATGATTTCTGTCCCTCTGGCGTGTGCATGGCAGTCATGGGAGGTCTTGTCAAGTGCCTCACTGCGAAACGGCACACAACACCCACAGCTTCCACTTAACCTGTCAGTTTAGACTGATCACAAGGCAGATGCTAGGTGTGAAAGTGCAGATCAGGAGAGACATCACAGCTGACTACTTGGGAACTTTCACTGAGTGGCGAGAGCAGATGCTTTAAGAATGCATGTGCCATTGCTTGGGGAGACTCAGCTGCATGTGAGTGAGGAGCAGAATTACTTAAATATTAATGGTCACCGCTGAGGAACTTGATGAACCATCCAGTATGCGACAGCGTCCTGGACAGTTCTATTTTTACATCCTTGCATTCCGAATTCAACAGGACTAAAATGTCCGTGGGCCTCCATTGCTCATGGAATAAAATCCAAGTGCTGGGATCGGCATTAAAAATCACCTCCTACCCCGCCCTCGTGTATTCTGTCATCCAGGCTCCACTCTAGAGTGTTAGATGTTTGTTGGAATGGGGTCTCCCACCCACACCCCTAGTTCAACCAGAGAAAAAACACTTTCATTAGGTAGGATTTTATGTGAACTCCTTCCTGGGACTTAATAATCCATTCGAATTATTAGGATTTTTTCCCTTCTGTACCTTTTTGATGTCTTGACATTGCTGAAGATGTTTCCTCCACCTGGATTATGTTCTCAACCTGTAGGACTCTAGCTTCCTAAATAACCCTGCTCATCCTTCAAGATTCAATCCAAATACTCCCTCTCCCATGGTACCATTCTAGGTCTCTCTCCAACCCACACCCATCTAACCCAACTGCTTAAATGTCTGTGACATTTTGTTTGCACTTCACTTATTAACCTCATCCGAGCTGCCTCCCACCGGGGTTATTATTTTTTTTTTTTTTATGTGTTCATTGCTCCCTTCAGATTATAAGCTTCAGGACGATAGGGACCATATGTTGTTTACCTTTCCACAAGTGTTTTTTTTTTTTTTTTTTTTTTTTTTGCATAATGTTATTTAATAAATGCTTCTTTAATTAAAGGTGCTGAGCTGGTCCGAGAGTGGTGGAACAGGGTGGGAGGGGACTGTCTCATCAACCTCCCAAACTTCTCTTTCCACGCCTTTTGATGCCTTCCCCCACCCCAGGCACTTGCTTGTTTTTGATGTGGGAGGAGGCAGCCTTGTGTGGTGATAGAAGGACCAAGTGAGGCAGGAGTCCTGGGTTTCTGTCCTGATCCCGCCGCTGACCAGTTGAGGAACTGGAGGCAGATCACCTCACCTCACCGAGATTGTTTTCATATGGCCTCTCAAATTCCTTCCAGTTTTCATATTCTGTGAGCCCGTCAACTCCTTGAGGCTTTTCCTCTGTATTACTCTGCTTGGACTGCCATAACAGAGTAACACAAACTGGGTGGCTTAAGCAATAGAAATTTATTTTTTCACAGTTCTGGAGAGCTGGAAGTCCAGAATAAAGTGTCAGCAGATTTCTGCTGCAGCCTCCCTCCTTGGCCCTCCTGCCTTCTCACCCTATCCTCATGTGGTCTTTCCTCTGTGCATGCACCCATAGTATCTCTATGTGTACGAAAGTTTCCCTCTTCTAGGAACATCTGTTAGATTGGAATGAGGACCGATCTAAATTATTTTAACTTAATGGCAACTTTAGAAGGCCGTCTCCAAATGCAGTCGCATTCTGAGGTCCAATACATGAATTTTGGAGCACACAATTGAGCCCATAATACTGTCTGATTTAGAGTCGGGGAGGTCTGGTGATCAAGATGTTTTGGTATCTGAGAGCCACAGGAGTAGTCATCATCCTTGGAGAGCCTACAACATTCCAGATCATGATAGGAAACTAGAATGGGAAAAAAAATGTTTTGTGACAAACTTATTTGGCCCACACATCAGTCTTTCTCTACATTTATAGCTCAATCCTTTGAGGTCTGTCTTGAACACCTGGGTGGACCTAACAGAGTAGTCTTGACCGCATTTGACTAAGCCCCTTCTTGCTTATCTGACTCCCCAAGTGTTGTAGGAAATACTGTAGTCATTGACTTAAACCCATCCTGTCCTCTTCCTCCAAGAACTCTGGGGTGTGCCCCACCATGGCATGTCACTGACAGTACATGTGGTCAGCCCAAAAGATAAGCCAGCTTTAGCCCTCCTTTCTCAGAAGTCACCTGCTGACCTTACATTAGTGAGTCACCCTGAGACTGAATGGGAAGTCTCATTCCTGGTCACAATTTCCTCTGGGAACACAACAGACAAAAAGCCACTTGTTTTGTTTGGTTTTGTTTTGATTTCAATCATGCACTGTCCATACTATCTAATTTTTAAAAATTCAAGACACGTAATATAGTATTATGAAACCTTAATAAATCTGAGTTATGCTAAATATAGCTATTTTTCTTCCATATTCTTTCCAGTTCAAAAAAATAAATAAGGACAAGAAAGAGAAGATGGGATAGGAAAAGAGGAAGGCAAATACAGAAAAAAAGAGAGGGGAGGGGATAACAGGAAAGCAGGAAAAAGAGGAGGGGAGGTCAGATAAGCAGTCAGAAGAAATGGGAAAGAAAGAGAAGAAGAACAGAAAGGATGGAAGGAACAAAGCAGGGCAAAGAAGAACAAAGAACAATGTCTAAAGGATAAGAAAATTGTGAGATGGGGAGGGAAGAGAAGGAGACAAGGGAGAGTGACAGGGAATGTATCCTTGGACTTACCCTCCGGCTCTTCAACTGAGCTGGGAGTTCTTCACACTTTTGAAGGTGTAAGAGGTGTGGTGGGGTCGCAGAATTGCAGGTGTTAGTGCTGAAGAGGGACGTCAGCAGAGCTGCCGACCGTGGCCCACCCAGCCCCCGACTTCGATCAAGTAAGTTATCATCAGCCCCTTTCACAGGTAGGGTAGTTGAGGTCCAGGGAGCTTAGGTGATTTGCCCACGGTCCCGTAGCTCAATGACCCTAAGAGCAGGCTGCGTGCAAGGGGGAAAACACACTTCATCCTCACCAAGTGCGTGATGTATTCGGAAAGGGCACAATCATCACAAACGTCTACTCACAAGGAAGTTTTGTGGCGTCTTTCCCTCCGTATTCTAATGAGCGTCTGTAAGGCTTCACACAGAAGGATTGATTGAGTTGGAAGATGTATTCTCCTTTGCTCGTCACATCTTCAGCCTCCACTCTGAAAAGGATGGTTGGAATACGAGGGCGGGATAGTTAGGCCTTGAGGAGCGAAGTTAAGACCGAGGTCCCATCTGAGCCCGGACCAGATATTTCCTGAACACTGATCTATTGATTAAGAAGTATTTTGTCATTTTCTTACATATCTATAAAGAAAAGCAATAACGACAAGAAAAATACATCACATATATATATATATATATATACACACATATACACACACACACATATATACACTTACATCTATGAAGTGTTTTTTTTTTTTTAAATATATTTCCTCAGTTGGCCTCCCAACAACCTACCAAGTAGTTACTGAAATTCAAAAATTTCTGAATGGTAGGACCTTGAATTCATAGGTCCTCTGCTCCTCCAACAGAGAGGATCTCAATATGGTGAAAGAAAACTGTCATAGGAAGCCCTCCCCAAAGGAACATTGACTACAAACCGTTAGGTGCTATCTGTATCTGTTTAAAATTTCCGCTTCATGACATTTCCCACATTTCCTTTCCCTCTCCAGGCACAATCACCTCCTGGATAGTCATTTTCTTCCTTCCAGTAAACAGTGCCTTGAACCCCATCCTCTACACTCTCACAACCAGCTTTTTCAAAGACAAGCTGAAACAGCTGCTGCACAAACACCGGAGGAAATCCGTTTTCAAAACGAAGAAAGAAAGTCTCTCGACATCCATTGTGTGGACGGATGACTCCTCCGCACTTAAACTTGGCGTTTTGAACAAGATAACCCTCGGGGATGGTATAGTGAAGCCAATTTCCTAGCAATGGTTTTGGACCCCCGGACTTCCAGGGGACTACCTGTAAGAAAAGGACAGCGTTCGAACATGCTACCTGCAGTGCTTTTCATCTCTCCCAACAGCAAACCTTTCTGCACAGAGAGCACAGCAGAGTGACTTCTGGCACTGCGTTCCGATGGCAGTCGTTCTACTTAGCCGTGCGAAGAACTGTACCTGTGGGTTCTGCTCGCTCTCGGCATTTCGGAAATGCACTAGCGAAACCACACATAGTAGGCTGAACGGCCGCCGATCCGCAGCTGGTCGACACTACCCCCCTGCAAGGGAACGCCCCGCACATTGGCGCTGCATGTCTGCTTCGGAGTTGAACTGCACCGTCCATAAAATAAAAACATTCATGACACCTCATTCCAGGGTGGCCATCGTCACGTGAACCTCACATCTCTCTCTTTGCTTTTTCCACGTCAAAGGAAATCATCGACATCCTGCTGAACTGAGGGCAAAGGATTTCTGAGATGTTCGCCCGCCTGCAGCCTCGCCCTCTACGCCGGTGGCGTAGAAACTTTGAAAGCACATCTTTACACGAGGCTGTTGCAGCCAACAAGACGGCAGAGAGACAGAGACTAAGCCTAGTACCATTCACCCTCTTGGCTGCTATTTAGTGTCAGCAGAGTTGAGATCGCAAATAAGAATATTTTTCTGGAGATTGCCCAGGCCACGAAGAAAAATTGGACACCCCAGCGGCCAAAACTACATTTTAATCTCTTTCAAGGGTAATTTCTTTCAAGTAGCATCCCTACGAAGTTCTGTCTTCATAAAACACACGGATGAGATGTGTTAAAGGGGTTTAAGAATAGTGGTTTGATTGGGTCCGTTTGCTTACTCAGAGAGATTTCACTCAAAAAGGCCAGTAAGTTTGGACTTGAGTTTTGAAAATGTAAAGTACTTACTTGTGAAGGCCTGGATGTGTCGTTACCATGAAAGCTCGTATGTGAAAAACAATCAGGTAAATAAAGTTATATTTTGCATTTGTCCATATTTTATTTTATGTTTGAAAAAGACTACAGAGCCTGTTTATTGACTATTACCATGTTTCTCCTGAGAGAGAGTATAGCCAGGAAACACAGCACCTCAGTCAACAAGCACATCTTATGTTTTTCTCTTACCCCTTTTTCCAAAGCATGAGGCAATAACTGAATGTCTTTACTGCTCTCTTCATTCTGAGTTCCTTTAATGAGCAGAATCTAAGCAGCTGACCAAGAACTCCAGATTACCTCCTATCATCTAATAGCATCCAGGAAAGAATCCCAGAGTTCATGTGTCACGGCAGTTCTGGTAATTTACTTGTTATTGCTTAATAGTGACTAAAACCATCGTTTCAACCAAGTGAAATATCTTTTGCATCAGTGAAATCTTTCTGAGGATTCTGCAGATAATGTTCCTCCCCATTAAGTAGGCTGCCCTTTTCCCTTATGGTTTCAAAATTTCTCCATCTTGTCTCCTCACTATGATGAGTTACTTCCTGACATGTTTCCTGAATTTGCTGACATTTTATTAAACGCCCTCTGCCAGTCCTTGATCATCAGATGATTTATTTCCTAATACATTTCCCAACATCAGGAACATAAATAAGGACTAGACCCTGAGCCCAGGGTATTGCAATCTTAGCACAAATGTGTGTCTCCCTTTCTTGAAAAGCATGAGGGGTGGGCCATGAACCAAGCATCTGGGAACTGTGTTTGTGAATGCGCTCTTACTGTTAAGTAGTAGACACGAGAAACACAAGGTCAGGTGCATCAGGGAAGTTTTCACAGAAAAAATTGAAGCTATATATTGGTTACCAGCATGCTAATGGATAGTATAGAATTGAATTCTAATAGCTTAGTGATTTACGGCCTTATTCTGCACTGCTACATAAATAGAAACCTGTAAGAAATGTTTAATTTTAGCAAATAACAGTCTTTTATCTGGATTGAGTGAGGTCTTTTGTGTTGTTAGAATCATTTTCTAAACCCAATGTTTCTGTGTGGATATGAAAATACTACTTCTGTTCTTTAATCACTTCCCATGACAACATAAACAGCAAATAAACATGACTTGAGAACATGAGAGGCCATAGACTGTGCCATCTTTGAGTAAGAGAGAATGAGGGCAAATTACGCAATCCGCATCTCCATCATGTGCCTGTGTATTACTGACATCTGGTATTGAAATTTAAAAAAATATATATTCTAAGAAATGAATATGGAACCTCAGATGAGCGTGCCAAAAGGGGGTACGTGGTTTATCTGTGTTAGACATAGCTAAGCTTACTTATATCACTTTGTTTCATTCTTAAGGTTTATTTGTAATCAAAATTAAAATAGTTCATGCCCACTGCGGTTGCTGAAATAGACCCTGGTGACCAGGAGCTCTAAGTGGGGTTACACATAGCTGAGCTTTAGCTCACAGGTAGTAGTTTCACACCTCACCATGTGCCTCAAATCCTCAGCTCCATCCGGCCTAGTCTCTACAGCATCAGAGAGCCACAAAAGCAGAGCCATCACCCCAATGTTTTTCTCCTAAGGGTGACCTCGGTGCCAGATCAAATGAGTATTTGGTAACTTGCTATGCAGATACTCATGGTACATTTTCAAGAATTTATCTCACCCAATATGATTCTTCACTCTGCTTTACCATTCTCAAGTTGGGAAGCAATGCAGAGATCCGGAGAATGTACATGATAGAAATGAAAACTGGTGAAGTGTCACCAATCATACGCTCCCTATAATTTTACATATGCCCCCAAGGGAGGTCTGAAGTAAATGGATCTTCCAAAAGTAACAAGGGATACACGTAAGACATATTTCTTTTTAGTTTTTTCAATGTAGCGTAAATGGGCGTATGGTTCTATTTAATAAATAGCCTTAGGTAACTTTACTCAAGAAACAAAGCATGGAAGATAAATATTTGTATTTTCTTATTTCCTGAAAAAGAAAAAGAAAGAGTGATTGTAAAGATTTCTCCTTATATTAATCTGTTTATATGTCAGTTGTCTGATAGCCTGTCTATGAAAGACAGAAGATGCATTTCTAATAAAGATAATGTTTATTTCTGAACCAGAAACATAAAATGTAATCAGAATATTCTTTGTTGTTGCTGTTGTTGTTGTTGTTGTTGTTGTTGTTGTTTTGAGTATTCTTTTAAGTGGTTTTTCAGTAGGAGACCTTAAAGTCCTTGAGGTACACTTCCTAAAGCCCTATAAGCTGATTGAAACCTATACGAAATGTATTTCATTTAGAATAGTCTTCAGGATACTCTCCCCATGACACATATGGAAGAAATCAATTACAAATAAATAAAAAACAATAAGGCCCCCTGACAAAATTGTGGATCCAGGAATGGGTATCTCATGCCATCTCAACGGTCTGGCCCCAGTCCATGGTGACACTTCTTATCGCTAGGACCTGAAAAAAGCATAACTATTTTGAGTCATAAGCTCACAACTAGTTTGGATACAAAAAGAGATTATTTCTGGACTGCCTGGGACCCCATAAAACTTTCACCTGTTTCCTGATTTTCTGAATTCATGATGTTAGAGTATTTGATTCAGTAATGATTTGCAATGGAAGCTATTATATACTTTCCTGCTACAGACAGTATATATTTAGGACAAAGAAATACAGAGTCAAAACCAGAAAGCTGGTGCCATAGTTCCAATTCGGTCATCAACTACTTATAAGTTCTCAGACAAATGCCTTTAAATCTCTTCCATTCTCTATAACTGGGCTTCCTTAGGACCATCACACAAACTGATGGCCTATCCCATTTGGGGGAAGATCTATAATGTGGATTAAACCTCTTCCTGAAGGTCCATGTGGATTAAAAATCCAAAAGTTTACATAAAATTCAAGGATTATCCACTTCTCAGTTTCCCTGCGATATTACAAGGTCTCAGAAAGAATCAATTCATGGGTCAGTGCGATGTTCAGAAATCCTCTTCTGGCGAAAGCTTACAGGGCCCCCATTCTCTTATGGAAAGAACACTGAGGCAAAGCCTCAGACAGTGACTCTTTCCTAAGACGTGGAAGATTACAACAGTGTAGCAGTGAGTACAACTTAAAAATTAGGTGACCTAATGCTAGAAAAATCTAGGAATGCAGACAGTGATGTAATTAACAAGTAACCATTTTAATTGACTACAAGTCATAAACTGGTCTCTTCATGTAAGTGTATAAATAGATCTACTATCACCTACATTATTCTGGAAAACACATAAATGCACAGGTATGTCAAGCACTTATGACTGGGATTATACCCCATATACTGGGGGTAAAGTGTTGTTAGGGTAAAGACATAACAACATACCCAATTTCCCCACAGAACCAAAATACAACACGTGGTTCTTGACCCAGGATTGATCTCTGCCTCAAACCTTGCACCATCAGCCTTGAACTCCCTCCCTTTATCATCAACCTCTCTTCTCCACTGGCCCTTTCTATTCAGCTCACAATGCTCCAATTTCTCATATCTAAGACCGACACTAGCATCTGTCTGTTTTTGCCTTCTCTTTATGACTAAACATTTAGAAAGGATGGTAAACTCTTTGTCACTGGTGCTTTGACTTCTCAACAACAGAATGCCTCTACCCTCACCACACCATGAAGGCACTGCTCCTTGAGGTCTTAATGATAACAGCCCAATGGACAGTTTCCTTTCTTTAACTATTTCATCTCTCTGAAGAATTTGTCACTGACAACCACTTCCTCTTCCAAATTCCTTTCTTAGAAGGAAGGACATCATTCTTTCCTATTCTACACTACTCCACTGGCTCTCCCTTCTCACATCTTTATGAGTTTCCTCTTCCTCCGCCTGCCCCCATAAACTTATAAATAAGTTTCTGGGGTCTTATTCTTGGCTTCCTGTTCTTTGTCCTCCTTAAATCCCTCCCAGGCTTCAATCTCTCCATGGCTGTCATAGATAAGTAAATTAATTTTTAAAGCTCACGTAAAAATAAACATAAAGAGGGGTGCCTGGGTGGTTCAGTCG